GCTGCCCAGTGGGAAACAGAGCCACCCTGTGCCTGGCCAGGGCCCTGCCTGCCCCAGTCACCCACCAGAGGAGCACTGAGCTCCCCTGTGCACCAGGTGGTGATGCTTTTGGGAGGCTGGACTCTTAAACAAGCCCTTTGCTGAACGGTGAGACCAGCCACAGAGAATTGGTTTGCCACAGCTGTGTCAAAAACTGGTTAAAATGGAGAGTAGTTCCAGTCCAGTGCCGGTGCAGTTCCACTGCAAGAGGAGAGGGGTGATCTGCAGTTTGTGCCAGGGCTTCTGGTAGCAGCACTCTCTTGCCTGGTGGGTTCAGCCCCATCTCTGCAGGGATGCACAGTGCATGGAGCACCCTGGGGCTGAGGCAGGGAAGCAGGGGCTGCTGCAGGCCAGGGGCAGGCTGAGAGTGCTGGACTCCTCCTCTCCCAGGTGGGTTTCCTGCAGAGAAACCTCATGGCAGAGCTGGCCCCTGCCTTGGAGAGGGGGACAGGCAACCCCAAAGTGAGAGCCCATCCTAAGCCCTGTTCAGATTTGGGGCAGAGAAGCCTCCCAGTGTCTCTAACCCTGGCCATGCTGCTACACCAAGGTGTCAACAGGGCATGACCAGCACCTGCTGCTGCCAGGCCCCAACCAGCAGCATCCAGCCCTGCTCACCTGGGTACTAATCATTCAGCTGCAGAGTGTTGAGGTCGTTGGTGAGGCTATCCTCATCTGTGTAGGGGTATCCCGTGTAGCCACCCTCGTCCCTGCAGTACCTGAGGAACCTGCAGGTGCAGAGCCAGGGGAGCATGGGCAGGAGGTGGCACTGATGTATGCCAGCAGCAGGGACAGGCAGGTGCTGACAAGCATCATCTGTGTAGGGGCCAGGAGCAGCTCACCTCTGCCAGTGTGGGTCCTTGCTGAGCACAGCTGGGTTACCCACCACGATCAGCAGAGCCTTGGCCCTGGTGATGGCCACGTTGAACCTCTGAAGAGGACAAGTGAGAGGGTTTTACATTGCTGTAGTGCCTCTCACCCCCTCCCAGCCCCACCTGGGTGCAGGCAGCTCTGGTGTAGCACTGAGCACCTGGAGCAGCTCTGCTTGCTTGTGGGAACCAGGGAGGAGCAGGGGGTGCCAAGGCAGAAGGGTTTACTCGGGGCAGTGTGGTACCTTGGGGTTCTTGAGGAAGCCCAGCCTAAAGTTTTCATCGATCTGGAAGTATCTGCTGCAGCTGCGCACGGTGGAGATGAGGATGACACGTCGCTCCTGGCCCTGAAACTCTTCCACGGAGCCCACCTGGGGCAGGGACAGCAGGTGAGGGGCTGGGAGCACCTTCAGGCTTGAGCTGGTGGGGCTCCCTCCTGCAGCAAAACAAAACAAAAATAACCAAACCAAACCAAA